CCTACATTATGTTTTGCATTCTGTCTTTCCTCCATAATTAAAATCAATCTTTCATATAATTTTCTAAAATTTAACTTAAAAATATTTGAGAATTAATGAAATTCTTAATCAGTGATTAAATCTAAATAAAGAATGACAATAATATTCAATTAATTCTTATAAAGTAATTCATTAACTATGTTTTTCGTCCTTATCTATGAACGAATACCTCTTTCATCCCTTACTTTAAACTTTCCACATTAATTATATTTATATCATCATTCACTTTTTTTTTCCTTCCTCTATTTACTATCCTAACTTACCTTTAATACTTCAAGTTCATTTACATATCTATTCCATTCAAAATTTCACTTAATTACATTCGGAATTTGGATTAATCTATCATTTCATTCCTCCATATTTCTCTCTTTTTAAACTATAAATTCCAAAAGTTGTGTATGAATTCCAACTTTACTTTCTCTTCATTCCATAGCACTCATAAATATTTATCCCTAACTCCTAATTCCTTCATTACATTAGTTTTTTCCTTCTTATCTCTTTACCCATACCTATTTCTACTTCCCTTTCCTTTTCCTTCTTCTTCTCTTCTCCTTCCTTTTTCTTCCTTCCTTTCTCTTTCCTCCCTCCTTTACTTCCCTCCATTCCCTTCACGTACCCTTACGTAATATCCTTTCATTTCCTTCTTCCTTCCTCCTCCTCCCTTTCTTCCCTCCCTCTTTCCTTCCTTCTCTCTTCTCCTTCCCTCTTCCTTCTCTTTCCCATTCCTCCTTCCATCCCTTTTGTCCTTCCTCTTCCTCATCCTCCTTCCTTCCCCTCCACCCTTTTGTCCTTTCCTCTTTCCTTCCTCCTTCCCTCCCTCTTTCTCCTTCCTTCCTCCCTTTCTTCTTTCCTCTTCCTTCTCTCTTTCCTCCCTCTCCATTCCCTCCCTTTCTCCCTCTCCATTCCCTTCCACCCTTTAGTCCTTCCTTTCCTTCCTCCTTCCCTTCCATCCTTTCCTCCTTCCTTCCATGTCTCCCTCTTTATCCTTCCTTCCTTCCTTCCTTCCTTCCTTCTTTCCATCCTACTCTTCCTCCCTCCCTTCCTTCTCTTTTTTCCTTCCTCCTTTTCTCCTGAGGAATGTTAAGCTGGGAGAAGAGAACGTAGAGTCCCTTCTGAGAGATAGGATGGGTTATAAATACATTATTATTATTGTTATTATTACTATTATTATTATTTGATACGTGAGTTGGGCTTAATCATAGAGCCAGTAAAGAGCCTTGAAATTTCACTTGCCTTCTCTGTCTGCTTCATTTGCTTCATGTCTCAATGGACTCTGTTAGGAATTGTGGGAGCTGGAGTCCAAAACACCAGGAGAGCCGAAGCTTGCCCATGCCTGGTGTAGATGCACCTGGTTCCCTAATTTTCCCAAGTTCAGATCACAAGGATCCGTATGTCCCCCATTAACTCGGGTCTCCTGTGCTATCTCTTCTAATGCACAACCACAAAAAGTATTTGCTGGTGGATGTAACGCACAACATCCAAAACTCCCCTCTTGTGTCCTTTGGCCATTAGAATTGCTGCCCACTTAGAATTCCTTCATGAGAAACCAAAGTGGTAGAGGGTTGTTGTAGGTTGTTTTCGGGCTATATGGCCATGGTCTAGAGGCATTTTCTCCTGACGTTTCGCCTGCATCTATGGCAAGCATCCTCAGAGGTAGTGAGGTCTGTTGGAACTAGGAAAAAGGGTTTATATATCTGTGGAATGACCAGGGTGGGACAAAGGACTCTTGTCTGCTGGAGCTAGGTGTGAATGTTTCAACTGACCACCTTGATTAGCATACAATGGGCTGACAGTGCCTAGAGCAAACTTTTGTTGAGAGGTGATTAGATGTCCTTGTTTGTTTCCTCTCTGTTGTTGTGCTGTTGTAATTTTAGAGTTTTTAATACTGGTAGCCAGATTTTGTTCATTTTCAGGCTATATGGCCATGTTCTAGAGGCATTTCTCCTGACGTTTCGCCTGCATCTATGGCAAGCATCCTCAGAGATGAGGTCTCTGCTGGAACTGGGAAAAAAGGGGTTTATATACCTGTGGAATGACCAGGGTGAGACAAAGGGCTTTTGTAAGTTGGGCTAGGGGTGAATCTTTCAACTGACCACCTTGATTAGCAAGAAATACTGTTTACTCCTTTCTGTTGAAATTGTCCACATGCTTGTGGATTTCAATGGCTTCTCTGTGTAGTCTGACATGGTGGTTGTGAGTGTGTCCAGCATTTCTGTGTTCTCAAATAATATGCTGTGTCCAGGTTGGTTCATCAGGTGCTCTGCTATGGCTGATTTCTCTGGCTGAAGTAGTTTGCAGTGCCTTTCATGTTCCTTGATTCATGTGTTTGGGCGCTGCGTTTGGTAGTCCCTATGTAGACTTGTCCACAGCTGCATGGTACACGGTAGACTCCTGCAGAAGTGAGAGGAGCCCTCTTGTCCTTTGCTGAACATAGCATTTGTTGGATTTTCTTGGTGGGTCTGTAGATTGTTTGTATGTTGTGTTTCCTCATCAGCTTCCCTATGCGGTCAGTGGTTCCCTTGATGTATGGCAGGAACACTTTTCCTCTGGGTGGATCTTCATCTTTACTCTCGTGGCTTGTTCTTGGTCTTGCAGCTCTTCTGATGTCTGAGGTGGAGTCTCCATTGGCCTGGAGAGCCCAGTTGAGGTGGTTCAGTTCCATCTTGGAGGAGGTGGGGTTCGCAGATTCTTTTTGCACGGTCTGCCAAGGCTTGAATGGGGCTTCTTTTTTGACTTGGGTGATGGTTGGAGTAGACTGCCTTTTCTAGATGTCCTAGTCAACCGCAAACCAGATCAACAATTGGGTCACACCGTCTACAGAAAACCCACACACACAGATAGATATCTACATCAAAACTCCAACCATCACCCAAGTCAAAAAAGAAGCCCCATTAAAGCCTTGGCAGACCGTGCAAAAAGAATCTGCGAAGCCCACCTCCTCCAAGATGGAACTGAACCACCTCAACTGGGCTCTCCAGGCCAAGGGAGACTCCACCTCAGACATCAGAAGAGCTGCAAGACAACCGAGAAGAAGCCACGAGAGTCAAGACCAAGACCCACCCAGAGGAAGAGTGTTCCTGCCATACATCAAGGGAACCACTGACCGCAGAGGGAAGCTGATGAGGAAACACAACATACAAACTAACTCCAGACCCACCAAGAAAATCCAACCAATGCTCCGTTCAGCTAAGGACAAGAGGAATCCTCTCGCTTCTGCAGGAGTCTACCGTGTACCATGCAGCTGTGGACAAGAAGTCTCCATAAGGACCACCAAACGCAGCGCCCAAACAAGAATCCAGGAACACGAAAGACACTGCAGACTCCTTCAACCAGAGAAATCAGCCATAGCAGAGCACCTGATGAACCAACCTGGACACAGCATATTATTTGAGAACACAGAAATGCTGGACCACTCTCACAACCACCATGTCAGACTACACAGAGAAGCCATTGAAATCCACAAGAAGCATGTGGACAATTACAACAGAAAGGAGGAAACCATGAAAATGAACAAAATCTGGCTACCAGTATTAAAAAACTCTAAAATTACAACAGCACAACAACAGAGAGGAAACAAACAAGGACATCTAATCACCTCTCAACAAAAGTTAGCTCCAGGCACTGTCAGGCCATTATATGCTAATCAAGGTGGTCAGTTGAAACATTCACAACTATTTAATTTTTATTTATTTATTTATTTAGAACTTTTCTATACCAGTCTTCTCACCTCCAACTCGAGCCAGTTTACAACAAGGGGGTTCATACACAATAGTTTAAAAAACATCACATCAATAATACACTAATATAAACACATTAAAGTGCTATCATATAATTATATAAAGCCAAGTCGTTAGCATAAAAATCACTATTCATCCCCATCCGTGTGGTCAAAAGCCATTGCCTCACTCATCAAATGCCAGATTCCAAAGCCAGGTTTTCACCAACTTTCTAAAGGTCAGGAGGGAAGGGGCAGTTCTAATCTCCAATGGGAGAGAGTTCCAGAGCTGAGGGGCCACCACCGAGAAGGCCCTGTCCCTCGTTCCCACCAGACGCGATTGCGAAAATGGTGGGATCGAGAGCAGGGCCCCTCTGTAAGATCTTAACAACCTTGATGGTTCATAGGGGAGAATCCGTTCGGATAGGTAAATTGGGCCGGAGTCATTTAGGGATTTATAGGTCAGCACCAGCACTTTGAATTGTGCTCAGAAGCTAATTGGCAGCCAGTGGAGCTGACGCAGCAGAGGAGTCGTATGCTCCCTGTACCCCGCTCCTGTTAGTAGTCTGGCTGCTGCTCATTGGAGTAGTTGCAGCTTCCAGGCAGTCTTCAGAGGCAACACCACGTAGAGAGCGTTGTAGTAGTCTATACGGGATGTAACCAGAGCGTGGACCACCGTGGCCTAGCTCCAGCAGACAAGAGTCCTTTGTCCCACCCTGGTCATTCCACAGATATATAAACCCATTTTCCTAGTTCCAACAGACCTCACTACCTCTGAGGATATTTGCCATAGATGCAGGCGAAATGTCAGGAGAGAATGCCTCTAGGACATGGCCATATAGCCCGAAAAAACCTACAGCAACCCAGTGATTCCGGCCATGAAAGCCTTTGACAATACATTGAACATCTCTACGAGGAGGAAGTGGTAGAGCCCCAAAACATCCAGCAATGTTGCAATGCTGTAATAAAAGATCTATGTAGTTTCAGAGGGTCTTGAGCCTTACCAAAAAGATGCTGATGCCTCACAAACTACACATCCCAGGACGGCATAGCGTTGAGCCCTGAGCATTAGGTTAGAGACCATGTTCCTCAAAAAGGAGCTGAAGCAGCTTCCCCTTTCACTTGGGTTCAGCACTATGATGACCGTCGTTTGCAAATCTAGCGCTCACCCTGTTTTGGGCAAGGTCAGCTAGCCAAAAAGGGAAGAGCATTAGATTTGAGTACGAATAGGTCTGGAGGGACTCACCTTCACCTGGGATTCGCTCATGCCTAGGGAATAGGCCAGCCGCGCCCGCTCCGGTCCGGCCAGGTATTTGGTCTGCTCAAAGGTCTTCTCCAAGGCGAAGATCTGGTGCCCCGTGAAGGTGGGCCGCGTGTGCTTCTTGTGGAGCCCGTCAGACATGTGCCCCGTGGCTGCGTGGAGGGAAGGAGGGGCACCACGTTAGTCACAACACGGACACTTGGAGATGTAATTTCAGCCACGCACACACATACACACACAGATATCTTCTTCTAAATAACATCTTATATAAATAAAAATGTAATGTTCGTTTGTGGGATTACCAGAACTCAAAAACCACTGGAAGAATGGACAACAAATTTGGACATAAGACACCTACCAACCCAATGTATGTCCTTTACTAAAAAAAATGGATTTTGTCATTTGGGATTTGTAGTTGCTGGGATTTGTAGTTCACCTACAGTCAAAGAGCATTCTGAACCCCACCAACGATGGGATTGAACCAAACTTGGCACACAGTTCTCCCATGACCAACAGAAAATACTGGAAGGGTTTGGTGGACATTGAACTTGAGTTTGGAAATTATAGTTCACCCACATCCAGAGAGCACTGTGGACTCAAACAATGATGGATCTGGACCAAACTTGGCACGAATATTCCATATGCCCAAATATGAACAGATGGAGTTTAAGGGAAATAGACCTTGACATTTGGGAGTTGTAGTTGCAGGGATTTATAGTTCACCTACAATCAAAGAGCATTCTGAACTCCACCAATGATGGAATCGAACCAATCTTGGCATACAGGACTTCCATGAACAACAGAACACACTGGAAGGGTTTGGTGGGCATTGACCTTGAGTTTGGGAGTTGTAGTTCACCTACATCCAGAGAGCACTGTGGACTCAAACAATGATGGATCTGGACCAAATTCCATATGCCCAAATATGAACACAGATGGAGTTTGGGGGAATAGACCTTGACATCTGAGAGTTGTAGTTACTGGGGATTTATAGTTCACCTACAATCAAAGAGCATTCTGAACCCACCAACGATGGAATTGAACCAAACTTGGCACACAGGACTCCCATGACCAACAGAAAATACTGGAAGGGTTTGGTGGGCATTGACCTTGAGTTTGGGAGTTGTAGTTCACCTACATCCAGAGAGCACTGTGGACTCAAACAATGATGGATCTAGACCAAACTTGGCACGAATATTCCATATGCCCAAATATGAACACAGATGGAGTTTGGGGGAAATAGACCTTGGCATTTGGGAGTTGTAGTTACTGGGATTTATAGTTCACCTACAATCAAAGAGCATTCTGAACCCCACCAATGACAGAATTGGGGCAAACTTCCCACGATGAACCCCCAGGACCAACAGAAAATACTTAAGGCCATCCAGTCCAACTCCCCTCACCAGGGCAAGAAAACGTAATCAAAGCCCTCCTGACAAAGAGCCATCCAGCCATAATAGATAGATAGATATGATTCACACACAGATATAGTATCATAGATTTGAAAGGGACCCTTAAAGAAGGACAATGATATGTTGCATGTTCCAGGTGGGCAAACCAGACACTCTCCACATCGACACTGACAAAGAAACAGCAAGAAATACTGTTTACCCACAAGCATAAAGAATTACATATATTAGAAACCAACACTTTCTCATTACTTTATTTTCCAGATCACAGACTGGGCCACAGCAACGCGTTGGCAGGGGACAGCTAGTACATATAATAAAAGTGAAAATATGTATGACTGGGCTGTCCACTTACACCAGTGTTTCTCAACCTGGGGTTCGCAACCCCTAGGGGGGTCGCCAGGCGATGTCACACGGGTCGCTAAAGGCCATCAGAAACACAGCATTTTATGGGTTGTTGTAGTTTTTTTTTGGGCTATATGGCCATGGTCTAGAGGCATTCTCTCCTGACGTTTCGCCTGCATCTATGGTAAGCATCCTCAGAGGTTGTGAGGTCTTTTGGAACTAGGAAAGTGGGTTTATATATCTGTGGAGCCCCCGGTGGTGCAGTGGGTTAAACCCCTGTGCCGGCAGGACTGAAGACCGACAGGTTGCAGGTTCAAATCTGGGGAGAGGCGGATGAGCTCCCTCTATCAGCTTCAGCTCCTCATGTGGGGACATGAGAGAAGCCTCCCACAAGGATGATAAAAACATCAAATCATCCGGGCGTCCCCTGGGCAACGTCCTTGCAGATGGCCAATTCTCTCACACCAGAAGCGACTTGCAGTTGCTCAAGTCACTCCTGACATGACAAAAAAAATATATCTGTGGAATGACCAGGGTGGGACAAAGAACTCTTGTCTGCTGGAGTTAGGGGGTGAATGTTTCAACTGACCACCTTGATTAGCATTTGATAGCCTGGAAGTGCCTGGAACAATCTTTTGTTGAGAGGTGATTAGATGTCCCAGATTGTTTTCTCTCTGTTGTTTTGCTGTTGTAATTTTAGAGTTTTTTTAATATTGGTAGCCAGATTTTGTTCATTTTCATGGTTTCCTCCTTTCTGTTGAAATTGTCCACATGCTTGTGGATTTCAATGGCTTCTCTGTGTAGTCTTTTCTGCTGCTCATGGGGTTTTTGTGTGGGAAGTTTGGCACAATTCGATCACTGGTGGAGCTGAGAATGCTCATTGATTGTAGGTGAACTATAAATCCCAGCACTTACAACTCCCACATGACAAAATCAATTCCTATCCCAACCCCACCAGTGTTCATATTTGGGCATATTGAGTATTTGTGCCAAGTTTGGTCCAGATCTATCACTGTTTGAGTCCACTGCGCTCTCTGGAAATAGGTGAACTACAGCTCCAAAACTCAAGATCGATGCCCAACAAACCCTCCCAGTATTTTCAGTTGTTCATCGGAGTTCTGTGTGCCAAGTTTGGATCAATTCTATCCTTGGTGGGGTTCAGAATGCTCTTTGATTGTAGGTGAACTATAAATCCCAGGAACTACAACTCACCAAATGTTGTAGTTCCTGTTTCCCCCAAAACTCCACCAGTGTTCACATTTGAGCATTTTGAGTATTCATGCCAAGTTTGGTCCAGATCCATCATTGTTTGAGTCCACGGTGCTCTCTGGATATAGGTGAACTACAACTCCAAAACCCAAGGTCAATGCCCACCAAACCCTTCCAGTCTTTTCTGTTCGTCTTTGGAGTCCTGTATGCCAAGTTTAGTTCAATTCTATCGTTGGTGGAGTTCAGAATGCTCTCTGATTGTAGGTGAACTATAAATCCCAGCAACTACAACTCCCAAATGTCAAGGTCTATTTTCCCCAAACTCCACTAGTGTTCACATTGGGGCACATTGAGTATTTGTGCCAAGTTTGGTCCAGATCCATCATTGTTTGAGTCCACAGTGCTTTCTGGATGTAGGTGAACTACATCTCTAAAACTCAAGGTCAATGCTCACTAATCCCTTCCAGTGTTTTCTGTTGGTCATGGGAGTTCTGTGTGCCAAGTTTGGTTCAATTCCATGGTTGGTGGAGTTCTGAATGCTCTTTGATTGTAGGTGAACTATAAATCCCACCAAGTACAACACCCAAATGACAAAAAATCAATCCCCCACCAGTATTCAAACTTGGGCAGGGTAGCTGCTTCAGGAGCAAAGTAGTTCTTTCTCTACATCCTGCTCCTGTTTGCAGTCTAGCAGCTGACCTTGGAAGCAGTTGAAGTTTCTGAACGTTCTTCTGGATGCCTCTGAGGATGCTGCCATAGATGTGGGTGAAACATCAGGAGAGAATGCTTCTGGAACATGGCCATAAAGTCGAGAAAACTTACAGCAACCCAGTGATTCTGGCCATGAAAGCCTTCGACAATACAGACAAGAGTTCTTTCTCCCACCCTGGATATCATCCCACAGATATAAACCCCACTTGCCTAGTTTCCAACAGACCTCACAACCTCTGAGGATGCCTGCCATAGATGTGGGTGAAATGTCAGGAGAGAATGCTTCTGGAAAAAAGGACAGACAGCCTGGAAATCTCTCTGGAGCTGAGTAATTCCAGCCGTGAAAGCCTTCAAGAATACAACAACAACAACAACAACAACAATAGATGTGGGTGAAATGTCAGGAGATAATGCTTCTGGGAAAAGGCCAGACAGCCTGGAAAACTCTCTGGAGCTAAGTAATTCTGGCCGTGAAAGCCTTCAAGAACACAATAATAATAATAATAATAATAATAATAATAGATGTGGGCGAAACGTCAGGAGAGAATGCTTCTGGGAAAAGGCCAGACAGCCTGGAAAACTCTCTGCAGCTAAGTAATTCCGGCCGTGAAAGCCTTCAAGAACACAATAATAATAATAATAATAATAATAATAATAATAATAGATGTGGGCGAAACGTCAGGAGAGAATGCTTCTGGGAAAAGGCCAGACAGCCTGGAAAACTCTCTGCAGCTGAGTAATTCCGGCCGTGAAAGCCTTCAAGAACACAATAATAATAATAATAATAATAATAATAATAATAATAATAGATGTGGGCGAAACGTCAGGAGAGAATGCTTCTGGGAAAAGGCCAGACAGCCTGGAAAACTCTCTGCAGCTAAGTAATTCCGGCCGTGAAAGCCTTCAAGAACACAATAATAATAATAATAATAATAATAATAATAATAATAATAGATGTGGGTGAAACGTCAGGAGAGAATGCTTCTGGGAAAAAGCCAGACAGCCTGGAAAACTCTCTGCAGCTAAGTAATTCCGGCCGTGAAAGCCTTCAAGAACACAATAATAATAATAATAATAATAATAATAATAATAATAATAGATGTGGGTGAAACGTCAGGAGTGAGAAGCATGGGAAAAGCAGAGCCTGGCAAACTCCAGCAGATACGTACTACCTGCGTGAGCTCAGAACACATAATAATATAATATGTCTATAATAAATTAAATGATATAATAATAAAATAGTGAGGCGAAAAGTAGAGAGAGAAGCTTTCGGAAAGGCAAGAAGCGCCGGAAAACTCTCGCATTAAGATAATCTTTTCCTCCTTCAATATAATAATAATAATAATACAATCAAATAATAAATATGTTTTTAAAGCATTATATCCTCTTTTAAAACCTATACATCTTAAACTTTTTCATATTCATTCGTGCTTTACTTCAACACAAAACAGAAAATACAATAATAAACAACCATCTTT